CCTTCTTCACAGAAAATTTTGAAAGAATAAAATTAAGACAAAATATATCTGCAAATATTTAAGGACCTAAGCATAAGAGAGATTACTGAAAATCCCCAGAGAGAATATAATGAAAAAGGAATATGGAGAGCTATTTTTGATTTGCTTTTTACTTGATAGAAGAAACCATCGCATATTCCCAGGAGAACAGCGACAAAGAATATGACAGACCTTCGACACAGATGGTTACACCAAATGAGGCAAATAAACAAGATAAAACTGTTAAGTCAGAGCCCAGACTTCCTGCATCTGTAACATGTAAGACAGACAAAACAGAAAAGAAAGGATTCACTAGACCATTTAGCTTAAGCATGGAAGAATACACTGAGATAAAATAACCCTGAAACCTGTAACTAAATCTCAAACCAACTATTTGACACCTAGGGAAAGTACAAGAATACAGCAAGCTGGTAGAGCCTGGGTGAAATGCACTGGGATCTTGATGCTTGATAACACTTCAATTGTCTGATTTTTCTTGTCCTATAACTTCTTTGACTGGCACTTCCATTTCAGACAGATTATTCTGAAAAAATCTCTTGCTTGGGTACTTTTGTACTTTCACAGTGAACTCACACAATCTGATCTGCCTTCTCTCCTAAGACTTTTGTTTTTGCTTTACTCCTATTTCTTTTTTTCATCATGTGCTGTCTAACCATCACGTGAGCCTATGCACTCTGCCAGGCTGTCTCCTCTTCACGTGCTGATGAACTTATTGCTAGTATTTCTTAAACTTGTTTTGCCATCCTTACTGTGTTTTTTACATTTAATCTACCAAAATCTGTAATCTTTTCTATATTTTCAATTTAGAAAATACTTCAACCATTTGTTTGATGCTTTTTAACTCCTAGTAGTATCCATGCCACCTGTATGAATACATGTTTCTTTGCTGCCCCTTTTAGCATCATTTTTAACAAGCTCCCTCCCCAGTCAAGAAGGAATCAGTGATCCTATGAGCATCACATTTGAGAGTGGTTGGCTTTGCTGATGCTTTGAGAAAGCTGCCTTTACACCTTCAACAAATTCAGTTTTCTCTGAGCTGACTTTTTATCACAAAACCCTAGATTTCTTTCTGATTTTGGGTTCCTATGCAAAGTCCTTTTTCCCTTTCTGCTTTGAGGAGTTTTATTCTAAGGCCTTCACAAATAAGATGTGCAGTTTCTCTGTTAGCTGAGTGATGCCTAACATGAATTTAGTCAACAGTCCTGCTCAGAACAGTATTTTCAAAACGAGTGTTTAAGATTTTAGCATATCTTCAAGAATGGAAGTTCATAAATCTCTACAACCCCCAAATCTCTCCTTGTCTTTCAGCCCATGTAAGTTTATACAGAATGCATCATAAATAAAAAAATCCAGATGAAGAGATAACATCATTACTGGCTTATAATATTTTCTTTTACTGAAAAACTGTTCCTAAATGCTCCAAATATGCAAATAAACTTTAAACTAATTTTTAATCAGTAATTTTAAGATAAATTTAGGAACTTATTGCTAGATGGCAAAAATAAAATTATCATCAGTTCTAGGAACCAGTTTAACTCTGGACACAGTCATCTTAAACTATTTTATCTCTCTTTATAATAGAAACACACTGAAACACACATCTGTCTTCCCACGTTTATGTTTTCTATCCCGGCTTCTATTTATTAATTTCATAATATACACTCTATCGAATAACACCATACTTCACAGGTGCAGTGGCCTAATTTCTATAGTGACAAACTGAATAAAGAACAGTTGAAAAATAACTGCAAAAGTTCATCAGCAATAAGCAATGCTAACTGGAACAAACAACAAAAGACAAAAAGCAAGTCACTACTTGAAGATCAAACAAGTCTGATCTTTACAAAATCCAAGGCAGAGTTCCCCGTTCCCTCAATTTTCATCTCCAAATATTAACTGCCACAATTCAGATAAAAATAACCACCAACCTCCCCTCAAACAAACTAGAAAAAATAAATAACAACAAAGCACATATTTAAAAACAAACAAGCAAAAAACAAAAAAAACCCAGGAATAAAACAGGAAAATCCACACTTAAACATAAAGGTTTAAAATAAATAGATGTGGTAGTCTCCTCTATAGATGTCTTCAGGAACAAAGCACTCTAGAGCATTTTCTTTTGCTACATTCTGTTGGGAAATCCATTTCAATTGCCATGAAATTGCAACAAGTTTCTTTTTGATTTCAGTCGTGTAGGCTTTTTAGTATTAGATAGACATGATTTGTATGTAACACAAAGTATATATCATTTGTGAAATGAGAAATAGATTTGTCTGTAAGGAAGGCAAAACATGTAGATTAAAAAGATTTTGTTATAAGTAAATCTAGTGATATCACTGTGCAGCTACACTTTTAAAAACTAAGTGCAATGAATGTCTCCCAACTTAGCTATAGGACATACAAAGATTGAGATTCTTACAGGGGGAAAACTAAATTCTAAAAAAGTTCTGTAAACCTGAAGGGAAAGTTCCTGTTTTTACCGCACTATACAAATTAAGATCCAATGGTCACTCTTCAGGTCTTCTTGTTATTCACCCTGTTCTCTCTGCCACTGAAGCTCACTCAGTGTTTTCTATCAAAGTGCATAATTTGCTGGAAACCAAGTAAGAGTAACTACGCAATGAGACATAGGTTTTCCCCGAAAAATACTATGCAGATATTTGCTGAAAGAAGTAGACAAGTTAGACTTATGACTTCCAGGTTCTGTAGAAATCCTGAAAGTGTGTGTGGTCTGTTGGAAAAGTGCCCTTACTCTTTCCTCGATCCTCTTCTTTTCCATAGCCTGTTTTACCTATTACACAACTGCTCTTCTGTGACCCCTTATCTCAGTCCTAGTACCACTGGAGAACTGGAAATCCTCACTCTCTTACCTCATTTCCCCAAGCAGCTCCCTGCTCCAGGTCCTTTCGTGTAGTCTCAGCTCTCTGTCACTTAGCAGCCACGTTTTATACTGATCCCTCCCAAAATATCACTGCTCCAAACCTGTATTATTCATTCCCATTCTCTCCTTGTTTTATTTTCTCTTACCAGATGTTTACTCTTCCATTATTTTTCTCTCTCCTGACACTCTATCAGAGACACTTTGACCAGCTGGTCTCAGTTCTCCCCCCAGAGCAGCCAAGGTCCCTCCTGCCCTGGCTTCTTCCAGCCCCGTGGTCACTTCTCTCCTACACCAGGAAACTCAAGCAATGCAGCTTTTACAGCCATTTCTAACCCACTGTCAAAGGTATTTTCCTTTCTCTGTAAATGGGATTTCAGTCCCATCCCTTCCCCATTTAATTTCCATGAACTGATTCTTTTGCAGCTATTCAGGCACATCCAGTATTAGGTACCTTCTCCAATTTACAAGCTGGCAACCTTTTCACTCCTTGAACTTAAGCACATCTTTCTGATGCAGCTGCTGTTTCTGGTCTCATCTTTAAGAATTACTGATTTGTCTGGTTGAAATGGAGTAGCCAGATCTGAGACAGACATTTTGGTATGCAAGATTTGACTCTAAAAAAGAGATTTAGGAAGAGTTACTATATAATTATAGCAGATTAGTAATGGGAAATATAGGGAATGTTTCTTATAATACTGAGGACATTTTTATTACATATATGAAGAAACCAAATAATATTTATCTCTAATTATGCCACAAAAGTAGTTTTTAAGATCCAATACAGGCATCCTTCTCTTTACTTGCCTCCTAACTGAAATTAAGGTACATAAAACTGTGTACAAACATATAGATTATGTCCAGGTTATGAATTACTTAATTTAAGGCTAGCCTTAACATGCTTGTGCTGCCCTAAAGTGTACACTATAGAAATAATAACTATTAAATGCATCTTTTATTTAGACATAAACACAAAACAATACCATGTGTTTATGTGTGCTGGTTTGAGCAGGTGTGTAGTTAATTTTCTTCATGGTAGCTGATAAAGGGCTGTATTTTGGATTTGTGCTGAAAACAGTGTTGATTATTCAGGGATATTTTAATTATTGCTGAGCACTGTTTATATAGAGCCAAGGCCTTTCCAGCTCCTCACACTTTTTGTGCATTCTCAACCCCCTTGCCCCACCAGAAAGGATGTTGGGCATGCACAAAAAGTTGTGAAGAGACACAGGCAGGACAGCTGACCCCAACTGAACTAAGGGATAGCCTACATCCTCTGGGGCCATGCTCAGCAATGCTAGGGGGAGATGCTCCAAGTGGTGGTGTTCATCTTCCATAATGTGTAATGGAGCCCTGCTGCCCTGGCTGAGCACCTGCCTGCCCATAGGGTGAATTAAACCCTTGCTCTGCTTTGCTCATGTGCATTGGGGTTTTGCTTTCCCTGTTAAACTGCCTTTATCCATCTGATTCTCCCTCCCATCCCACCAAGGGAGTGGGTGAGCAGCTGAGCTGCCAGCTGGGGTTCAACCATGGCAATCCTTTCTGGGGCATGTGG